GTTCACCTCCCTGACAACTTGAGCCTGCAGCGACTGGCACAGAGACAGACTCTCACCTAGACCTTTGCTACTGGATCACTGTAAATCAAAACCTGCAGGTACAAAATTACTATTTATTTTACCTAGATTTTGACTGGCTTGAAACAAATCTTTAATGAAGCAGATGGAAAAAAGGCCGTAAGTAATGTATATGTATTTTTTTTTTTAATATTTTTAGTGCTTTCCTGAAAGGTAGGAAAAATAAAAGGATTAAGCAGATAGCTATCTAAATTTTCAGGTAGGCCCAATAGTGTATAATGAACATCAAAAGTCAGGGTATGTAGTGCGTGTCAATTAAGCAGCTTTTATTTCCTAAATAGGCATATTATGACTGTTCCACTTCATAACTTATTTCATTGTATCCTGAATTACAAGAAGCTCTTTGACCACTGGTCACAGTAAGAAAATATGACAAAATGTGCATCCCAAACTACCACCAAATGTAATTTTGTCATTAATCTCCCTTTTGTAAAATTTCAGTGCACTTGAAATATGAAATAACTGTCTATTGACCCATTTTTAACTTGTACGTGTGCTCCCATAGATTTTAACGCAAGTTACTTGAGCATAACAACTGGTGTTGTTTAACATAATTTTGATCTACTTCCACTTAAGCAAGTTCTAAATACACAGAAGTTAAATGATAAATTATCTTTGTTGCATTGGAATTGGAATATCATCAGACCAATAGCAATGTTGTTGCTACAAATTTGAAGATGTACAATTTTTTTTTTCTAATTTAACTTCCTGAAAAGATATTTAAATCATTATCTCAAATATGTGTGAGTGCCAAAAATCATTCTGTATGAAACACTGAGGAAAAAAGATGTCAAAATGTTAAGGCAAAATAAAATGATAGATTAGGTGACATTTACTTAATACATGATTCTCTTTTTAAAAGACAATTATTTACTGAATTCAGATGAACCTTTTTTAAAAATCTCTGTAAAAATATTTATTATCATGAACGCTGGCCTGGAACATTAGAAAGAAATTTGATTCAGAAAAGTTAAAATGTTCAGTTTATACTTTTAGAACCAAAGTGCTTTTGCTTGATTCAACTAATTTTGACCAGTACTCACAGAGTGTGCCTGCGATTGTGCTGCCCAAATACTGGGTTCCTAGTGCCTTCTGCTCTCTTTCTTCTCTGTGGCTTGTTCTCCAACATTAATCTATAGCTCCTCTGAAGAGTTGCAGGACAGAAGGATGTCACAGAAAAAGCCTCCTAAAGAGAGAGAACAACTCAGAGAATAATGTGTTGAGGAAATTATACTGTAATTCTTGTGAGACCTGGCACAAATTTCTGCTTGACAATCTAAAACAAAGTATCTTAGTCAATTTGACACCTGAAATAGTTTTGTCTTGGGACCCCTTACTTGCTAAATCAATACTTTTTCTTTCCTTTTTTTTTTTCCCTGAAAGAATGAGATTTATTCTGAATGAACCATCAGTTTTAAAAAAACTACATTTCCCACTGATAAATGGAAAAAAAATACCCTGAGCCAGTCTACTTAAAACATGATGTTCCAAATGATCATTTATTGTATTTTTTCAGTGCCATTCAGAAATTATTACAAACAAATCTCTAATATTTTATTTATGAAGACACACAACCACTGTAATATTAATTATATTTTAAATAAAATTTAAATGATGCATTTGGTGATTTAATAGTAAGGATCATTTGAATTATGCAGTTATGTTAATTCAAGCAAAACAGTAGACTTCTTTTCGTTGCTGCTTAAATTGTGTGGTCTTTTCATATTGCACATACTAAGTGCTTCTCACAACAGTTTAAAAGTGTTATTTATTACCACAAAATCAGGACAGAAACTCGCAGTTCAAATTCAGATCATATTCCCACGATAGAAATCTAATGAGACCCTCAGCTTGTGGCTCCCTTTTCTTCTATGGCAGTATATTTTTCATCGTGCCAAGATGTCAGTGAGCCTGTTTAAAACTGTAGGATCCTGCTGCCAAGAAAACCCAAGTTAAAAAAATAAGAAAGTCATAAACTTGGTGTTGCAAGCTGCTTACACTTCAGTAAGAGTTTTTTGTTTGAATGGTTTAGAGCAGGATTGATATCACTACTGTCTTTCTTTCCTGAAAACCATTAATTCTTCATTATTAAACAGTATGATTAAAGGTAAGACAGCAAGCAGGCTTCTAAATTACAACTGGAAAAAAAGAAACAAAACTAGCATCTGCTAGTCAGGATTAAACTATATGCTATTTTTTTAATAATAAAGATAGGAAAAGAATTTGCAGAGAATATTTAATGAACCAATGATATGTTCATATCTTCAGATACATTTTTTTCCCCACAATTTGTAGTAGCCTAAAAATATCCTCATTTCACTAAGAGAACAATTTTAAGAAAGTCTGTAAAAATTACACAGCAATAGGAATTAATATTCAGAAGTACACTGGAAATGCACTGAGGGATAATGTAATTGCTGTTTGATGTGAGAAACCAATATTAAAAGATGCTAGAAATATTTCAGGAAATTGTATTAAATAATAATTGATAATTAAAGAATTGGTAAAAGATAGTACTAGAAGTAGACAATCGCTCCATAACCAAAATCTGTCCTTTGAAACAACAATTTTTCTCTATTAATTCTTCCTCTTTCTATTTCTAGACATGCAAGAGACCATAGTTCAGACACTCATACTTCACACAACATTCCTGCTCAAGGAATTCAGCATGTGCTCCTGAAGACTAATTTTATTACTTTAAACACAATTAGGAAAAATATTTCTGATTTGCATAAGACGATTATGGAAATATTTACACAAGACTTCATTTTTTCTTTTTTTTTACATTAAAAAATTTCTCTAGTGGGCTTTGGCTGTATTGCATAGGCTTTCTAAATGTCCCGAGAGTCATATATATTTCAAGTGTTTGATGTTTTTTATGTAAACAGGTGGTTACCAAAATGAAAGGGAGTTTGTCAGCATTTCAGTGATTTCCACACAAATTCTCCAGATATAAAAGGATATAGCTTTATATATTAGTACATCTTTTCCTTCTCTAAAGAATGGTTCCAGGAACCGTAATTACAATTGGTACATAACTTATAGGAGAGACGAATCCCTCTGAAGGCAATGCAATTTTAGTGATACTTGAGATAAGCAAGGCTATAGAAAGAAGCAGAACCAACAAAGAAGCAGAACCAACAATACTACAGATATTATGGAAAGAACACTTAGCATGCACAGCTGCTTTAGAAAAGAACTTAAGGCTATGGAAGGGACCTTTTCTCAAGGTAGCCTTGAATTTGGTCATAACTCCTGGGGATTACTGATGTTAATGGCAGTGGCATTGACTTGGAGGGCACTGCAGGTTGTTACTGACAGCAGGTCTAGTTGCATTTTGAAAAGCATCTTTTAAAAAACCCTTTCTTGATATCAGACTCAGAAACTTGTCATCCATTTATTCTGAGATAAGTTAGTCTGGATATGCAAATTTCTTTTCCATTTTATACACTGGGAGATTCACACACAACTCTTAAACTTTTCAGTGACCTATCTGTCAAAGCTGAAGAAGTAAAATTTGAGGGTAACTACTGATTTGGTGATCTAGCAATAAATGCTAGTCCCTCTCTATAACTCTATTTTATTTACACTGAAGTGATGTTGCATACACTAGGGTTACTATACATATGTTACAGAAGAAAAATGAGATAGGAACTACATTTCAGTATTTTGCTCCTTCGGATTGTATTCTAAGCCATGATAAGGTACTGCTAGAATAACAGAGTCCAGTAGAGCTGGTTTTGTGGGAAAATAAAAGCCAGATTTAATTAAAATTATAGAATCATAAAGACTTTTTCAATTAATACATTCAAATAAACTTTCAAAATATCAATGCAAAATACATTGACATATGAAATAAAAGTTCTCCACATTGCTTATTAGCAAATTTGTATTGCTTCCAAGTGTTTTTTTCTTTTCAGGAAGACTTCAGCTACCAGTGTCAGTGATACAGTACTTGCTATTGCCTCCTAACACCGCAAAGCTTCTAAGACTTTCTTTTCTTGTCAGTATTAGAAAAGAGAATTGGCATGGTGTATTATAGCTCTCTTAGCATAACCTGACATTGGAGATTTAAATGGTAGTCATAGTTTGGCACAAAATTCTGACTAAGAGTTCCCGGTTGTCACTGAAGTCCTTTTATATTTAAGCAAAGCTGTAATGGTAATGGAGAAAAGATGAAACCCAACATCTTCCTGCGTGACAGTGTCAACACGGCAGCACGAGCTACGAAGAATCGCTGGTCACGCTCCTCACCATAAGAGTAACAGCATGGCAGGCTCTGGCAGAGTGTTTGTTTTACTGAGAACTTCAAAAAGCAGTGAAAATGTATTATGTTTCTATAATTATTATTTATAACTATTGTAGGTGATGGGAGAAATGGTCGAAAGTGCCGTTTTGTAGCGCTTCTTGAATTACATGCAAAGTAAAATGACGCATTTGAAAGTGCTTATTTAGTCTTGAGTTGACTAATTATTAATTACATTCTTTTCCTTTCTTGTCAGTGAGGGGCTATTAACCCAAATCTGCTTACTGTGGAAGATCACTAAGCAGCATAGTACTTTAACACTCTTTTGTATGATGTTAATTCATGATGTACTGTATGCACACAAGGATCCTCTCTCACTGCTCTGCTTGGTAATCAGATCTCTCTCCAAAAACATTAATGTCTGTTTGTACACTTGTAGTGCTAGCTGGAGAGAAATAAATAGATTTAAAGCTAACTTCTGCTTTCCCTTCACTGACAAAGTCCTGCATTTAACCTTGAAATGGGGCACCCTTCAGAAATCCTCACACAAGTAGGAATCCCTGAAATTTTAGCGCTATTTCTTAGTTATAAATAATAATAATATTCTCGATGGGTGGCAGCTAATGAGTGTCAGTGCAAACGGCGATTTCAGCGGGAAGGGATGCTGGCAGAGGCCTTACTGACTGGAGTACTGCACGGTGCTGTACTTTGTCACTCGTCTCCGGGAGGTGCCTGGAGATGCTGTGCCCATTGCCTGTCCAAGGTGACAGTCAGCACTGAGCACCTGACCTGTGCTGCTCAGGCCCCCCAGATTTGCCCCCCCTAGGCTTGTTCCTCCCAGGCTGCTCATGCCAGACCCTGACACTACTCTCTCCGTGACCACCACATTGTGGGCATTTGATAACTCTGAGGGGATATTTATTAGGCTGCCTGGCATGCCGGAGGCAGGCCTGAACACCCTTTCTGTCACTACCACATTTGACCCATCTACCAGATCGGGAATGCTCAGAGACGCTGGAAGCCGGGAGTTAGGCGCAATTACTCTTTCGGTGACAATAACATTGGACCCATCTGCGAGATCAGGGATATCTAGCATGCCACGCAAATCAGAGGCAGATGCAGGACCGACAACCCTTTCTGTTACGACGACGTTGGATGCCCGCAGAGGGTCAACACAAAGAGAGGGGGAGCCAGAGGTGTAGGTCTCAGTCACCGTCATGTTGCCGTGGAGCAAGGGATCTGGCATCGGCCTTGGGGGCTGTATGGTTGACCCAGATGTGTAGGTGTTTTCAGTAACAACCGTTGTAGTGCCAACTGGGGGAGGCATCGGTGCACTTCCATTGACAACGATGGTGGTTCCAGGCGGTGGGAGGTTTAGATCACTTTCAGGGTTGGGAAAGGTGACGTTGACGCCTGGCCAGGGTGGGTTGACGTCAGGGAAAGGTTCGATCTCTTTGCCCAGACAGATCTCTGCCAGGGTCCTAAATTTTGGTCCTAATGTATCCAAATATGTTTCATCTGTATCTTCTCCGATAAAGCTGCAGCAACCCACAGAGCCAACAGGAGTACCGACTCCTTCGTGATCATAGATTAATAGGCAGTCATTTGCTGGCCGACCTTCATCTTCATCTGCATACACGAATGCTTTCTGTAGTTTGCAAAAGCAGGAAAATAAAAAAAAAAAAAAGGAACAGAACAGAGTGACTTTTCATCAGGCCTTTAACCACGGATACTCAAACCATAGTAAGGTTTCCCTAATCACGGTAAGACCCAGCTGACTTGAAAGATGGGACATCAACAGGACAGATTATACCATCAACATTTTTTAATCCTGAAATAATTTTTTATTCAAACATTACTGTGTTTTATTCTTGTTTCTGCCAACATTTTGCAACTCCAGTTTGGTCTGCCATCAGTGGGTCTGACTGGGGGGCAAAGGAGATGGGTGAACGAATGCACTCTTTGGGTAGCACTATGTGAACAAAGTCGTAGGAAGAGGAGTGAAGCAGGTTATTGAGAGGAGCAGTGGAGAGGCCAGGATAGAAGAGATGGGATGGAGGATTGGCCACTGTGGGGAAGACTTGGTGAGCCCAGAAGGGAGTCCATTTTGAACAGGAAGGAGATTGCTGATTTAGGATGGTGTTTGGGATCCTGAAGTGGCTGATGCAGAGAGATCAAGCAGGAAAGAGGAGAATTTAAAGTGATTACATGGTGAGATTGGAGGAAGCAGGAAACAATGGAAGGGGAGGTCTGGGAGGGAGAGTCAGAGAGTTTGGGGATTGAGATGGTCAGCAGGAGGAGTAATCTGTGGAGGGCCATGGCTGCCAGACAATTATTGATTGCGATCTGGGAGAAGTCCATGCTCAGGACATCAAGACTGCTCTGTCCTCTCCTCCACTGACCCTTGCTTAGATTTTGAAATATAGCAATCCTTATATATTAATTGATATTTTGGTGACATATGCAGTTATAACATTTATGCCTCATAGTTCATGCCTATTATGAAAATATATCTCATGAAGACATTAATCATGTAAATTCCATACCTTCTTTTTATACCATATTTAAAGGCTAATTCATGTTTGTCAATGGCAAAACTGCATATTGTTGTCCCTTGTAGTTCACAAGTATTTTAGTGAACAGAAATGGCAATAAAAATTAGGAAAACAGTGAACTGATGTTCACAGTTCTTTAGGGGTTAAAGTCACTTCAGGCTGTACCGAAAGTAGGAGTGAACAATTTCACAAAGTTATTTCTTTATACACTGAAAAAGGTGAAAAATACATTAATTTAGTGGCCACTTACAAAGCTGAAATAATTTAGTTGCTTTCTACCCACAAATGCAGTGTGTCCATCAGTTTTACAAAAAGACTATTGAGCAATCAAATCTACTACAGCAGCAGCTCAAAGGCAGTACTACTACTAGTGTAATTTTTCCTACTTGTCCAGTCAGTTTTGCTTTTACATCAGTCTTATACTATGGAAGTTTCAAATTGACTAGAGTTATTTTGGATTTCTACCATGTAACCTGGGGAGAAGAATCTAACAAAAAGTAGGCTCACAGATGTAACTCAAAGAATATCAACTAATTACCTCAGAGAAATAGTTGTCTAGGAAGGCCATGTTCACTCCTCCTTCTCGATACTCCTTTATTGTTCCTCCAATTGACCCTTTTACTTCTCCTGTTCCAGAAATTCCTCCAGCTGTTCCGTAACCAGTACCAGTGCCATAACCAACTCCTGTAGTTTCTTCAACACCGGAAGCTACTACTCCTCCTCCTCCATATGTGTTATTATATATCTCTGAAAACAGAAAAAGTTATCCTTCCCATGCTCTATTAAAATTTACACAGAATTCAGCAGTTGTTTTTATAAATACTATAAAGACACTACTGAGTTTCTAAACATATTTTAGACCACTTTCAGTCACAGATACATACAAGCATTAAACCTGCAATAACAATTAAGCACATATTAGTGGACATCTAAGACCTTGATTTTATTCCTGAGGCTAGGCAGCATGTTCAGATATGCTTTAGTAAATCAATTATTTATTTTGGTTATTGACTGGAGGCATTTTCTGCATGATGTACATATATGCTGTCATGGGGTTTGCATTAGAAAGTCAGATAATGCTTGTGGATAGTTATGTAAATACATAAATGTATATTTGTGATCACATCAGGTTTAAAATTATTTTGCCTTAAGGTCTTAGAAAAAAGAAAGGCTCTTTTACTCCTTTCACATTTTCTAGTGGTTAAATTTTTAAGGGGGGTTAGAGAGAACAATAATGGATCAAAATAACCACTGATTTATAATGCAGAATGAAGACAGTCTTCACAATAAGTTATAAAGTAATACTTACAGGACTTTATCTTCTCAAAATTTTTTCATATATGGATAACAAGGAAAGAGTGGTCTTAATGATCAGTGTATTTTATGATAATAGAATTGCATACAATAGCCTTGACTATGGTTACATTAGGAAACATAGACTAAATTATATTTTTTTCATTTTTATGAAGTGAAAACATACGAGAACATTTTTGTATAAATAATAGTCAGCAGAGAAATTGTCTTGCAGAATAACATTTCTTCCTGTCAGAAGCTAGTGAAAATGGATCTGTACCAGCATCCTTCCTTCCTGTTGTCATGTGAGGAATGAGGGACAAAGAGAAAGTGGCACTACGCAGCTTGATTTATTCTCTATGGTCATCGAATTCCTGGGGGAACCTTATCTCAGAAGCATAAATTTATTGTGCTATGTACCAGCTTTCTGTCTAGTTTAATGCACAAATGATAAGTAGTTACCTAGCTGCTTGACATCTCTTTTGGGAAGCAGAGCCTGGAAACTGGGAATCTTTCATGCTGAGTTATGAAAGCAAATTTCCTTATTCTGGCCTCAGGATTGATTTCTGCTAAAACTGGTGTCTGGAAAAGACCCTCCACTCAGTAGCTGGAATGATAAAGAAAAATTGCCTGAGATTTGAAAGCCTCAAAAGCTCATCCCTCAGATTCTTTATTCATTCTGGAGGTTCTAGTAGCATCAGTTTGACTATCTGTAGATGTAAGATTGGAAGGGTTGTGTTGTAGCTGGGAAACTAAAGTGCTCCATGAATCAGAAGGCATGAAGTTCTGAAAGATAGATTTATGACTGTGTACATAGAAGATTTTGGGATCTGCTTACCAGAGGGTTCACCAAAATCACCTCCTGCAGCTGTTGTTGGGGCAAGAATGTGCGAGACATCCTGGAAAACAACATTTTGACTCCTTTAGTGATGACCTTGAAATTCCCATGTGAAGACCAAGACTTTCAGAATCATGCTAAGGAATTAGCACTTTAAACTATTTATCACAGAATATGCCAAGTTAGAAGGGACCTACAAGGATCATCAAATCCAACTCCTGGCCCTGCACAGGACCATCCCCAAGAGTCACACCACGTGCCTGAGAGTATTGTCCAAATGCTTCTTGAACTCTGTCAGGCCCAGTGCCATGATCTCCTCTCTAGGGAGAGCTCTTAATTATCATCCCCATTAAAACAAAACCAAACTAAAACTAAAACCAAACCAAACACTACAATTTTTTTTAATTGTCAACATAAACAGTGATCAGTGGGGATGATTTGTGTTACTTTGTCCTAAATTTTCACTGAAGAAGTTTGCTAGTTATTGTGTTTCATCTGAGGGAATAGTAACACCAAACTATTGTGCCAAGCTAACTGAACACAATTAAAAGCACATAAACTCCATCTGAGAATATTAATTAAGTATCACCTTTCGTGTCTGCCTGGCAACTGTTGACAATGCCAGACTTCTTTTAGGAGAAGACACAACACCACAATCACTCTCTACAGTCAAATGCAGTCTTTTCTCTAAATATGAGTTACTACTGATTTTAGAAACATGGAATGTACTGACCCTGTCTTCAGGCTGTGCACCTTCTATTCCCCATGGATGAATTGCCCCTTCTGTGCATTCAGGTACAGGTTCAAATCCAGTTCCAACTCCACCTGCAGCGCCACGTCCACAGCCACAACAGTCGCTCATTGACATCAAAATTGGAATCACTTAACAGGACGAGAACAGGAAACGGGGATTTAGAACATCTCTTTCTCACAGGAATAGCTGCTTCTCTCAGAGGGGAGATGCTCACAAACTTTTGAAAATATGTCTTTAAAATATTTCAAACCAAGCAGCCTGCAAGTCTGGCTTTCAGAATCACTAGCTGCTTTTGGAAATGAATGTATTTAGAAATTCAGAATAATTTGTACCTTTAGTTATAGCAGAGCAACGCAGGGGTGGAGTAGGGCTGTTACTCCAAATTTATGCCCATAGACCTGGGAACAGACTTTGATCTGTCTCAACTGAATCAATATAAGTCGCATACATATGAAAATTAAACAAACAGAACCAGTCTTGCTATGTATAGCATTTAGTGCTATTCATTCCTGATATATAAGCATACATTTGTCTCTTCAAATATTGTAATTGAAAAGAAATACACATTAGTAATAATGTACATATGAGAATCAGTGGAGAGATATCCATCAGACTACAGTGATCTTTGGCTAAGGTTCCAGTTGCAGTTTTCACATCACATATGCATAATGCTTGATTTGAAAAAACAACAGAGGCAACCCCTAAGCCCAGATTTCCACAAATGTTTACGTAGAGTGAGTCAGGTTTCCCAGTGTGCTGTTATTATTCTTTGTTGTTTCAAGAACACAGTGTTGGAAATTGCAGAATTCTGTAAATACCAACATTGAAAACACTGCTCATTTTAAAAAGGCAATGCAATATTAATTCATAGAATCATGGAACGATTTGGGTTGGAAAGGAGCTTGAAGATCATCTAGTTCCAACCTCTCTGCCATGGGCAGAGACACCTTCCAGCATCCATTTTGCTCAAGGCCCCCTTCCAGCCTGGCCTTGAACAATTCCAGGGATGAGGCATCCACAGCTTCTCTGGGCAACCTGTTTGTACCTTATGACTCACAGTAAAGAATTTCTTCCAAAACCTGCCCTCTTTCAGTTTAAAGCCATTTCCCCTTGTTCTATCACTGCACACCCTTGTAAAAAGTCCCTCTCCAGCTTTCTTGTAGGCCCCCTTTAGGTAGGTTATTCTGAGGTCTTCCTGTAGCCTTCTCCAGCTTGAACAGCCATAACTCTCTCAACCTGTCTTCACAGGAGAGTCACTACAGCCCTCTGATCATAACATCAAAGTGAACTGAAGAGAAAAGGGGGAAAGGCTGAGCAGTGTACAAAGTGCTGCCTCACAGTGCACTACTAAGGACATATTAGTCCAGACTACCAACTAGGAGAGGAGATTTCCAAAGGCAGAATGATTGTCCTGTAACATTAGTCACCCATAACACAACACTTGCCACTCCAAACTTTTGTGGTTTTTGACTCCTACTAATCAAAGATTAAAACCCCAAACAAACCCTGCTCCTGAGAAAATCAGGGTAAAAAAATCCATATCCTCAGTTTTTTTTAGTCAGTATTTCTTCAATGGTAAATTTTAGATGTTGATTACTTGATGCCCAGGCCATTAGAGAGGGTAGATCATATCTGATTATGGTGTTCTGAGAAATAATTGCTTGCATAAATTCTAACTTGAGCCATTCTTATCCATGAAACTCATACTTCTTCAAAATACTAGGACATATGAATGAATGTACTTTTTTGATCCTGTTATAATAAATACTACTTGTTTTTAATAGATATAATATTTGGAAGTAATAGCCAAAAGTGTAAAATCTAAGATGATAGTATCTATTGTTCTACTACTGAAATCTGTCTTTGAGCACAAAGGAATCTTGGTCTTTACATCTTTTCTTACCCAACCTGGAGCTGATACTTGTCCATTTCTTCTAAGAACATAATGGAAGGACAATTGCATACTCTAGGTTTTAAGTGACTGAACAGCTTTGTCTGATGGTTTGAGAACTAAATAACATCTTAACAAAAAAACAAACCCTAAGTTTTAGAAGGGAAGTAGTTAATTCTGAATGAAATGTGTATGTAAATGTGTATAACATAAAATATATAGAAATTCTTTTAATTTAAAAGACAAATTTTTCTTGTCAAATGGCCTATAGGAGCCAATAGATTAACAACCAACCAGAAAAGTCACCTTGTTTTAGAAGAATTACAAAGTACACTTTTAGAAAGGTAATAAAATTGTTTTCTTAATTTTATACTTACAAACAAATATTAATCCACCAAGAAACATCAGGCCAATGGCAGCACCGCTCAGTGTGGTCGGTGATTGGTAGTCTCTGCCATAATTTTCATTTCCATAATTGTCGTCAATGGATGCAGTATATCCTCCCTCACCTCCATCGTATCCATCAGTATAAGCCTGCCAGTCTGTGTGGTCCTCATAATATCCTCCTCCAGGTCTAGTCTGACCATCACCACCACCTTGTCCTCCTGTATCTTCCCGGCCTTCTCCACCACCACCACCCTCAGTGCCACCACCACCAGCACCACCACCACCACCACCGATGATAATTATTTTTGTGGCCCCACTGGTGCAGTAATTCCGACTATCACACTGACAAGCTTGCACAGGAATTATGTGTGGTCTGGGGCAGCGTCGGCCTTGGCTGTCTCTTACAGTGATATAGATCCTATAAAGGTAAAAGTCAATGTTCTGACTCACTAGTTCTGCAGAGGAAGCTTTGGGGGACAAAAAAAAGAGAAAAATATTTAGGTGAAGGTATTGACTATAAATGCTCTACAAGTCTCTACTTTTTGTTAGTTATATTCATAGAACAGAATATGAGACTAAGAGTTCCCTTTCTAAGATCCTTGGTTACTTATTGATCTACAGTACTTATTCAAAGCTGAAACTTATGATACTCCTCTATGCTAGATTTTGTTTTGTAAAACTTGAGCCAGATCAGTCTAGTTATCACTTTTAAGCCTGAGAAATACAAAAGAGGCAAATGCACTTTTTTATTTCTACTGCTGCTTTTCCTGATTTTTATTTGCACAATGGTAAACATAAAAATTGCGAGTTTTATGCATTTCTTTTTCCTCTCACAAGGAATTTAAATAATTTTTTCAAAAGATTTTTCAGTAGGTTTAAAAAATTTAGAGTTAAACAGGTGCATTTGCTTAGGACTCAAGAATAGTTGTAATTGTGATATTTAACATTTAATGTAGTCTTCTATGCATACAGTAAGTTATGCAAATTCTGTCATTTAGTAATGTATGAGATTTGATTAATTCATTAGTTTGTCATGTCTTATTGGAAGAAACTGGAAAAGCTCCACTGCACACTGACGAAAACAGTTTTTGCAGAAATACAAGTAAGTCTAATTGGTACAATAAATTACAAAAATAGCAGTTTTAATTTGCCATTTTCACATGCCTCTCACATAAGTACGGCTCTGCCAACTAAAAATTTTATTCTTTACTACAAAATTTTAAGAGTTTTGTCATATGCTTAGGATTTTTAGATACTATAGAAATAAAAAGTATCAAATTACTCCTTTTGATTTACTCATGTTTAGACCAACAGAAGTTCTTGTCATAGTTGTACTCAAACTATAGTTTTTGCTGCCCTATTTTTTTTAAATTTCTGTTTCCTTTAAAAAACACATGTAATAATTCTGATTCTAATTGTAATATGATTTTATATGTTTATAAGCAAATATGGAGCAACTTCTTGGATCCATATGAGCATAAAATCACATTTAAGTGAGATTAGAATAGATTCTAGTAACTGGTTTTTTTGTTAGTGAAATATTATCCTACTCAGTTATATAAGAACTTGTTGCTATGGTTTATTCTGTTATAAAATGTAGGTTAATTTACCGTTTATTGATCTGATTATCCATGTAGTTTGAGGTTCACCATGTATGGTGAATGTAAAGGGTGTAGCATATAGACCTCCATCCCTGTGCTTTGCTGTGATAATCACTGATGGGGAGTGCATACATACTTTCCTTAATTCAGTATTAATAGTCGGGCAGTTGGCATTGACATCATCTATTGAAAGCACAATGGTGCCTGTAGCAGTATATCGAGGAACCCCTGTAAAAAGGAGATATTTGTGGTCAGGAGGGAGTATCGATACTATAAATAATGCAGTTTGGGTTGGAAAACTAGAAACAGGAAAAAAATTGATAGAAATCCGAAAACAAAAAGAGTTTTCTTTCAGAAACCTTAATCTCTTTTCTTACCTCTGGTGATAGCCAGAACCTCTGCTTTGTACTGCCCATTGATGACATAGACTGATTCCCGGTTAATAGCTTTGTTGAGTGTGATTTCACCAGTGTTTTGATTGATTCTGAACCAGGCAGCTGGATCACGTCCTATACTATATCTGTGTTTGGTGAAGTGAAAATACTCAGTGTTATGTTATGAGTATATGTATTACATATTTATTTTGCAAATAATATTTGGCATTTTGGAACATTTTTTTTTAGGCTGTGCTAGGTCCTCTTGCATTTAAACCTGTTCAAGCAAAAGTCATATAGACTTCAAAAAATGTACACCAGAAAAGTGATTAGGAATAAAGTAGGTGTGTACATTTTGCAAGTGGCATCATAGTTTTGAAATTAAATCTCTCTGGATTCTTTAAAATTTACTAGAATCCTTGTTGATATCAGTGGTTAAATCCACAGCTCTTCCTGTAACGTTCTAAAATTGTATTTGCTAACACATTTCTCAGTTTTATGATTTTTTCCCAAACCTTTGTCAATAAGCTGTATTTATTTCTACATACATTAAAAAACAAATTCTGATCCCAGTTATTATCATCAATTTCAAGGGAAATAAGTGTCAAATAATTTTTTTTTTTTTACTATAGAATGAGCTGGTAGTGACCTCTTCTATTCTGACTGGATAATCCTGCCCATTATTGGGATTTTCTGTTTGCTTTTTTAGAGATGCTAACAAATTCCCTATTTGTAGCAAACATTTCAAGAAAAAATTATTCTTAGGCTGGATAAGAAAAAAAAACTCACCTGTTTTATTTATATAAGTTACAGCCTATTGGAAAAATGTTATTTTCTTTGTCTTGTATATAAGGCTAAGGAAAGTAGGTCAGAAAAGAAAGCAATTGTAGCACAAAAAAGGGCTGAACGATATACTATTGTATTGCTATTATTGTATTGCCAATGAATGAATGTTGTTTTAAGTTGTTTTTTTAAAGCATCCTTTAAAGTACCTATTCCTCATCCCACTGAAATCTCAAAAGAATTATTTCATCCAGGAAGTTAAGCAGAGCAGAGCTTACACAACATTTGATGCAATAGCTCTTGTATCCTCATCGATGGCTGTGTATGTTCCTATAACATAATTCACTCTTGTGCCTTCTGATAGAGAAAACACGACTGAAGATGGGTGAAACCTCGGTGGTTCAATCATATTTTTTACTTCTATTGTGAGGGGTGTTCCATATATTTGGTACTCTTGTGCAACAGAGTGGTGGAAGGCAGCTACGTTCCTGACACCAATCATCAGTGAGTGGGTTCGGAGCTGTTCATAATCCAATTCCTAAAAGATAAACCACAGAGAAATAGATAATACATAAAAGTTCCCTAATTTTATTTAAATATTTTTTATTTTAAGTGGTTGAGTGACAATATTTTTACTGGCCATTTAATTTTGTTAACAATTAACTAAAACTATTTAAAGATGATTATTTCAAGAGTTGAATCACAATATTTATCCATACCTTAATTACTCTAAGGATTCCTTGATTTGTAGCTCGATCTGTAACAATTTCAAAACAGTTGTCTTCATTACCGGATATAAAGAAAAACTCTGCTAACCAATTGTCTGTAAACTCTTCATCAGCATCCAGAGCTTGTATTCGTAGCAGTTCTGAACTGAGTGAATTTTCTGAAATACTTGCTGAAAACTGGAATGACAGATAAGTACCTGTTAGCAAACTATAATATATATAATGTGAGGAAAACATAGCTGTCTGCAGAGATTCTTTTGAAGAATGTCCTGTGCACAGCCCATGCGAATTAAATAAAAAAACATGTATTCAATTGTGATTCTGGTTGCAGATCTGAAGAGCTGTGTCACCTCAAGTGTTTGCAGAGGCATCTTAGAGGGAGAGGATTTGTGCTTTCTATAGCAAAAGATCTTAAAAAGACTGGGTTAATCTGCGTAATCTAGCCATACTTCAGGGATCTGGATGCCTGAAGTACTGGATTTCTCTGAATACAAAGAAGTCAGTCCTGACGGTGTCAGGATTGACTTCTCTGAATACAAAAATAATCTATTTCTGTGTTACCAGAATTGGTGCACAATCTATGGACTGTGTTTCGAGGACACTACAAGGGAACAAGGACAGTACAACCCTCTTATTCCAGTGAAGCATTCAAATGTGAAAGTGCTCTATGGGTTAGTAAGGGCTCTGTTATCAACGGGGTTTTTTAACAGGGTTTTAAAACAGTTATGTTGCTTTTGGTATTGAAAACTCACAGAGCTTTGAGCAAGAGTTGGAAAGTTGTCATTGACATCAATAACTTTGACGTTACAGCTACAAAGGGATGATATTCCATCTGCAGCTCCATCCCGGTCTGATGCCTTCACAACAAGAGTGTAGCTACTATGTTGCTGTCACAAAAAGAGAAATGAGTGTGTTAGAAGACCAGCGGTGCATCTTATAAATACTCATGTCTTGCTACTATTTCCTAATATAGGAATTTACCTTAGACATTTTATTGTAACACATTGAAAATATGCATTTCTCCAATAATTATTGTAAAAAACACAGCCTTTCTCTCTCTTTTATTTTCTTTCATGCTCTCATAACACATATACACCAAAAAATCATGTTATTTAACTTTGGAAAAGGAAATGTTACCTCTCTGTCAAGGTAATTGGCAAGATGGAGTTCTCCAGTATATTTATTCATAATGAACATGGGTGGACCTGAAGGTTCCTGACTCTCTATCTTGAAGGCAATTTTAGAATTCAAGTGATTAGGTTCATCTGCATCTGTTGCAATGATTTTCATCACCAATGTGTCTAAGAATAAAAAATAATTAAAAAAAAAATCAGAAAATCTTTTGTATTCCCACGAACAAGTCATCGACACAATGCTAAAACTTGTATGAAAATGATAGAAGGCTTTCACTAACATTTAAAAAGAAAATAAAAAATTTAGTTTTTTAATACTGATTCTGAATGTTAATGACTTTAAATTAATTAAAAATCAAGGTCAGATGGAATAATGCAGATTTTCACTGAACTTCTTGAAATCACCATAGGGAATATGTAAATACAGTAAATACTGAGCTTGTAGATATTAATGTAAAAAATTGCCACAGTTTTAAATGAGAATTTCTGTAAAGTAGAAAATGAGTGTTAGGCACCATTACCTCAGTTAATTTCTTTACTTTAGGTAAAAAGAACCATGTTAATCATTTAAGTAAGGGTTTATTTAGTAATATTCTACTGCGACTGCAATACACAGGCTACAAATACAAATATTTGAAAGAGAAAAATGGGAAAAAATGTGTTTTATATATCCTCAAAGGAAATAAGTGTAAGTGTAGTGTTATTTTTATTTCCTAAATGAACTGATTTATTTTTAATTTTCACATCTGAAAGAATTTGCATAATGGTATGGTTAGAAACTGGAACATTCAGCATTTACATGTGGGAGGAAAGGGGGAAGGAAGCACTGCTGCTTAATTTATGGCAACAAGCTCAGGCCCTGGCTCAAACAGTACTTGGAGAAGCATCTGGTGCTCCTTCCTTTTCAGTAGCCCTGGCTAATCTATGTCATTGCCTAAGAAAAAGCAGAATGAGCACCCCAGGTTTATATTTATTGTATTCTGGGAGCTTCACTAGCACTGCTATAAAGGCATAGTGTAGTTACTTACTGTCCATACTGCTCTCTTCAATAGATCCTGTAAATACAGTTTGTGCAAATACAGGAGGGTTGTCATTTATATCCAGAACTCTGACTCGAAGTTCAAGAGGTGGTTCCAAATCCATACCTGTCACTGAGTGTTTGGCAAAGCAACGTATCTAGATAAAGAGATTTACTCATTTTAAAACCAAAAGTAAGCAAAGTAGCAATCTGAAACAAATTAATTTGTTGTCTACCCCACCCTGGATCCATCATCAAAAAGGTATAAAAAAATGGGAGTACTTACAACGAATACTGGGGTTACTTCCCTATCCACTATTGATGTTATATTAATTTCTCCTGTTCTTGGGTTAACAACAAATATTCCAAAGGGTGCACGATCAATTCCAACTCCAGAGATGCTGTATGTGACTGGGTTGTTTTCTTCACAGTCTGATCGGATCTACAGCAACAAATAATAATTTATGGAAGTTTACTGAGGATACCCGCAGGGTTTTTTCTCCTATTCTTAGTTCCCATAAAACATTCTATGTACTTTCTGTTTCTCAACCACTATTCACAAGGTTCAGTTGACAGAACCAATGGAGAGTTCTTCTACTAAACAATTAACCTAGAGATCCCTCTCCCCTTAAGTGCTGGATAGGCTTTCTCTTAAATCTGTTAGGCAAGTGAAGAGAGAAACCTCCAAGATTATCACACTGTGGCTGGACCTCAGTAAGTGAAAGGACAGGACAGGAAGATATCATCTTTGCTCTGTTTCCCACAGAAGTCATACACCATGCTTGAGCTTCTGCTTAGGAGTTTATCAGGGTGAGAGACAAAAGAAAAATTTTGTGCTCTGGTACATAGACGCTGCATGCAAAGACATCGGTTGGAGCTGCCCAGGAAGTAGACTGATGGCAACGTTCTAGGAAGCCTCTGGTCACTCCTCAGCAGCCACATGGGTTCACTTTATGAGACTGTCTCAACAGAGTTGGAAATATTGCATCATCTTTCTTCTATTCTGCATTCCTTGCTTCAACTACTCTAAGCAAATATATTTTTCTCTGTGGTTTTATCAGCCTGTCTTTGCAAAAAACTTCCTTGTCAGTGAAACTTGTTTTTCCTTCTACTTACTCTGGCAATTGGATTCCTCTTAGAATTATCTTCTCCTTCTCTACAAGCGGCGGCAAATTTGATCCATTCACGTTTTTGTCTTCTGAAGGTTTTCCATCTTGCCATTCCATTTTCATCCCATTCTTTTACCTTTGACACAGATTTCCAGTGTCATATGACATCAATCCATTTTAAATTAATACAGACAATTAGAATTTTCAATGATAAGGAGGAAAGAGATTTTTTTAGACCGTGTGCTTTTTTACATGTCTGTGAGTCCCAAACTCTAAGACTGTACATGTTTACTTTAAAATTATTCCTTTGTGTGAGATACTCATTTAGGTTTAGAAAAAGTTCTCTCAAGGGAGTGAGCAGGTTATTACCTGCAGCTGTTTAATATTTAAATATCTTTTCAATCTTCAGGTTCAGAAGTGTCTTAGTTCAGTATTTTCCACTTGGTTTTTCATTGGTTACATTTCATTTGATCAGAAAAACAGTTTCTAAAGAAATATATATTACCTCTACATGAAATCCTGTGCTGAAATCCAAGAGTACCTGCAAGAACAATGAAAGATTGGCGTGTAAAAATGTAAGGCAAGATGCAGTAAGCAAAGCCCAACTGCAAGACATTGTTATACTGCAGGACTGGAGAAGTACTTTTTCTCAAGTCTATTGAAATAGCTTATCTAGGCAGTAGCTACAGGATTTCCAGAAATGACTTTGTGCAATTCATTTTTTTCTATCTCCAGCACTTGAATTCCTTGACAGTTTAAACCTTCAAAATTAATTCTGTCTTTCAAGACAGAACTCTGGGTTTGAATGGATACACCATAGCAAATTTCAAGCTATACCTACATTAAAATACAGCTTTCACACAGATTTTTATGTTTTAACACCTCAGCTGGTTGCAGGAATTGTTACCAAAATATCTAGGAAACTAGAGAAGGAGTCTTTATTCTAAATAATGTATTTTTCCTTGTCCGTAATAAACCTGGAATACTTAACTAGGTTTTTAAACCAAAAAGAATGAAAATAATTTCTTGGAACTTCCCAGTGAAGTCGAAGACATTCAAAGTAAGATGGAAAGAGAACTGCAGTCATCAAGCATATTTCCCTGGAGTGCAGTGGGCTTTGATTTGAGACCTAACCATGCAACCAGTCTTGAGTAAATGAAGGTGGCAGGATCAGATGCAATATGTAATTACTTTAAAATTAAAATTTAAATGAGAGAAGCCTCAGTTTCTTGATTAGCACAATTTAAAAGAAGGCACAGTTTAATTAACCTTATTCCTAAATAAGGTGTAACCTCTTCAGAGCATTTTTTTGGGTTTAGGACCAGGTTTTCCTCTCTTCAGACAATAAAGGTGAAGAATATGGGATTTTCAGGGCTGGATGCTTTTTTCATTCATCATTGGGAGAAAAAAAATATCCAGGTAACTCAAAAAGTATTTCAGAGCTTTTCTTTTCTCAAAAAAAGTTGTTAACATCTGCATTTATGAGTTTTCCACTTCCTTGTCATTTCCCATAGCTTTTTTTTTGTTTGTTTTATGCCAGTTGTACTTAGATAAAATCTGTGACAATCTTTTATCCTATGGTTTACATCATGGGACTTTCCTCGCTTTAAATTTATTGCATTGTTCTGGCAAGGCTGGAACATGGACACAGACTTTTTTCCACTTACTTCATGTGAAGACAACCTCTTACATGGAACAGATTAATGAACAGTAGCTTCACCCTTCTTCTGCTCTCTCTCTTTTCCCCATTTACCTTTATTCTGCAAGAGGTCCACCATCTGTCATTTAAAAAACAATGTCTTCAATGATCTGGTCTTGCCCAGAACATTCCCTGAGACCTTGGCACATAATGGCTGCCCTAATCTGTTTCTGAATGAGGGAGTTTAGACTGTGGATTTGCCCATGTGATGTACATATACCTTGAAATTTATTTGACTATTCATAGGGAAAGGATTTTTTTTCCGTGTTTCTTTGAGGAAGTTATTGACATAAATGGTTCAGAAAAGTACTCTGCAGAAAAATCTTAACAATATGTTCGTGTTGTACTAAGAGCATTAATATATTTTTGAGTTTATGTCTTGGTGACTATTTAAATTTTGAGCTTCAGAATAGGGTTCAAATTCATGTGTGGCCATTACTCATCTCAGAGAAGGGACAATATCAGACTTCAGGTAAATGGCAGGGTTTTTCCACCCCAGTGGGAGCTCAGGCCTGTCCTTTTGTAATCCCCCTTGGAGCATGAGGAAACACAGGAAAGTCAAAGGGACAGACTATACCCTCAGAGAGAACCTGAGTGATGAGGTCTACCAGAAAGAGCACTAATTGAATAGTCTCTTATCAATCAATCCCACTAGTTGAGCAGAGCCTCCTTTGGTGAGCACAATGAAATACTCTCCACCCTTGGGCTGAAATCCCTTCTGGCATGAGAGCAATTGTCTTGACCCAGCAAAGTATGAGAATACACCTCCCAGTGCAATGCTAGTGAATCTTGTCTGCTGTCTGCATCCTGTGGCCTATCCTGTTACTCAACAGTGAGACTGATACCTCACACCCAGACACATCACTCATACTCAGCAGGCCTAATTGAAAAACTATTCTGAGTACCTCTGAAATAAGAATTATGCCCATAAAGAATTCTGTTGTTTAAGGCTATGAATACTGATAAAACACTTAATTTCAACCAAGTTCTGTTTTCAAGCAATGAAAAATATGTATTTTACACTGGAGTCTCATTCTTTGTTTTTGAGCACCAGTAATGAGAATGTCAGGACTTTGTCCATTGCGGATGCTGGGGATTGTAAATTTAGGCCCTGTATTTCCACACTTGTCCTATGCTAATCAAGGATAACCCTATTCTGCTACTTGTTGCTAGTGAAGATCTTGAATCCAGAGTACTTAGTAAAATTTGTGTTATTATTTGAAAAGGCTGATCCAATGAACTTGATGTCTGTGTTTGGTATATCTCTCTTTTATAGGAAGGAGGGCAGGCAGACACCAGAAAAAGCTATCTGGTTCATCAGATAAACCTCAACAGTTTTGAGATTATATTTATCCAACTTGATACAGGGATGGAGGTTCCTCTACCTCCCCAACTACTGCTTTCCCATTGTCTGCTATGATCAGCAGTTAGAAGTCTTCCCCCAGACCAGTTATCTATTTCTAATATCTATCTTGGAGGCAAACCTGTTTTTTTCTAGTGCTATTTCCAGCAGAGAAGTGCTGTCTCCTAGCAGCTAACTCTGTCATATTTCTAGGTAGTGAAAAAAATTTCCTTCTAAACCAGTATCCAAGTACAGCACTTTCCACAGACCCAGTGAATAACATTAATTAAAGCTACAGGAGTCACTGGAATGTGTGGGATGCATCCCGAGGACCTTGGGGTAGGCAGGCTGATCAGAATGATGCCAAGATTTGCTGGTCTGTTAGTCTCTGAGAGACTGTGAAAAGAAAAAGGAAGCTGCAGAGAAGCTAGAGGCTGGTTGCAGAAGTGGTTTCTGTTTTGGTCTGGGAGATGTGCTGTCAGGGAACAAGTTATGGTGGCTGTCATTTGCACGGTGTTCTGCCTGAAAGCTTGTCCTTTATTGTAATGATACCTGAACCCTTGTCCAAAATGACACCTTAGAGTCACACTGGAGTGATTCTGGATTTATTCTGATGTAACTGAAAATAGAATTAGGCCCATAGGATGTGTATGGTTCTTTGCACCTTCAAAGCAATTTACAAACAAGAATTAACTAATCATTAATTGAGTGCCAAGCAATATTATACGCAATTATGGAATCCTCCCTCCTCCACCTACTGAAATCTAAATGACTGAACACGCCTTTAACATCTTCCCAGCATTATTCATATGGGACCTGCTTTCCTCTCTTTGAAGTCAACAGCAGTATTGTTATTGGCCTGGATGGGAGGAGTGCTGAGAACTCAAATGTATTGCATTAGTCATCAGGGTGCAGTGGTAGCTCTGGTACTGTCAGCGTTTTGGGACTTTTATATCTTCGTATTCATCCAAAGCTCTGATTAATAAAGGGTTGCAATAATGAACCCTTCCCTTTATTCATTCTGATTCTCTTTAAAAAATGATAAATCAGTGCACGAGATAATAAGAAGCAGAGTTCAAACATGACAAAACCTCGTATTTTAAAAAGATGCCATTTAATCACTTGTTAATTGAAACGTGATGGGGTTTTATTCTATACTTTTCATTTTCATAGGTCACTAATTAATGTACTTATTCCAATTTATAGGGAAAGTTTTTCAGGATGATTTTTCTGGCATTTTGTTTACTAATTTAGAGGAAATCAGGTGTTCCTATATCAGTTACTGATGTCAATATTTTGTATTGTACCCAGGATCCATTGCTACTTCAGCAGAGTTATGACAATGGTTGTGTCAGGTAGAAGAATATATTCCAAAGTTTTATTTATTTTAAAATAAGTTTATTCAAAGAACTGAACACTTTGGGAAAGTTTCCACTGCAATGTTTCTGTTCTGCTAAGTCATACAGATATAATGAATTCCCATACAGTAACCATTAGAAAAATGAACAGAAAAGTAATTTCAATGTAGGGTGTATGCCATTATCATTCAAATTTGAGTTTTTCAAATTAGTCATGCTAAGTGCCCTCAATAAATCTCCTCAATAAAACCTGAATTCTGATATGGCTTAGAGTGTTCTGGCTGCAAATGCATGTTTGCTTAATGGCCATTTTACTTAGGAATGTAAAACTGCAGGCATGAGAACCTTTTATAGGTGATAATTCCTGAATGTGAAATTGCTTTAGTTTCTATTTCTACAACAAAATTATTTGGCAGAAGAGCCTGCAAGTTCCTGATTAAATCCCGGCAGATGTTTCGTATGCATATGCAAGGAGAGAGTTTAGCCCCTTAATTTTTTTATGTGCAACCAAGTTATGAGTAGGAGGTGTAACCATAGCCTAACAACTGGAGGGGGGGAAAAAAAAAAAAGCATAGATAACACATGGGAAAATGTAGCCAGACAAAAGTGCATAAGAGATGTGGTGTATTTAAAATTATTGGCTGTCACATGATAGCTGGCAGGAGAAGAGTCATACCTGATCAAACAGATTATTTCCATAAAACGTGTCTGTGCTAGTATCACAAACAGAACTCCCTTACTCATGAGAATAATGTCTTTGAAGTCACGTGAGCAAGGGTTGCAGAATCAGTCCCACCGATGGTGAAATCCATGCAGAAAATTACTAGTTTCAGGGCTGGTAAGTTTTCTTTTTTTTGAAAGTGTAGTAATGTACTAAAATATGTATAACTCCACGGCACTTTTATTTGAAGCAACTTATTAACAATATACTAACCAGACAAACCATTCAGACAGGTAATGTTCATGAAAGATTAATCAAGCTGAAAGCCAAGACTCTTTCTCACAATGCACCAAAATTGGATACATAAATTTATAATTTATTTGATCTCTACAGTTTTTCTGTTAGCTTTCTATAAAGTGCTGAAAGATGTTATTAAGCCGTATGGACCATCGTGAACATTGCTATGCAGAAGAACACATAATAATTACAATTGTTTCCTCTGGGCAGTAGAAGTTCAAATGCTTGATAGTCATCAAAACACAATGGCAGTTTTCACAATTGCTCTTTTTTTGTGACCCAACACATACCCTCCGTCACTCACAATTGCAACAATAATATACTAAAAGAATGAAAATGGCTTCAGGAGTGCTGACAGAAGTAAAGCAGTAAAATCTCTTTTGAATGGACAGATCTTAGACATGGTACAGTCAAGCTTTTTGAACTTTGACACATTGGGAGTATGCATCACCAGGTAACTGAGTGAAATGGATAGTCACTAGAGCAACATGAAAATCCAGAGGTGTTGGTGATGTGCAACAGACCAGCCTCAGAGATCTCTGCACTAGCCTAAACAAGCAGAAACTTATCCAAACTGTAACTTGCTTTTGCCAAGTTTTGCTGTTGTTTGCTTGGCAGCTGCCCTGTGCTAATTAGTTCTACTTTACTGATCGCAGAGCTGTCAGCTAAAATTAATGGATTATGTTTTCAAGTTAGTTTTAGGATTTCATATTCTATAACACACTTAGACTGCAACATTCCTAGAAACGTCAGTAACGAGAAGTTAATAAACATTTATGCTTAGTAATACATTGTGTAAAATGTAAAATTGCATGAAAATCACAGAAAGACATAACTATAATGGAAATCTCACTCTTCTCAATCTTCCTGGCCTTAAACCTCTACCTGGTTTCAAAAGAGCAGCACAGATGAGTAAAATTAATCCACACAAAAATCAGATTGCAGGAGCAATAAGGCCTCCATAGTCCTTTTAAGTCCCTTCTGGGTAATTTCCATGTCTTGATGAACACATTGTACAACTATGCCCCTTGACCATAGCCACCACAACTTTCCTCTTACAGTGAGAAAACAAACCCAAAGAGCAACACTTTCATCATGCATTCTCTTGCTCAGCACATGGCGGCTCAGACACTAATGCACTATAACACAGGAATTCTTTGTAATATGATAAAATAGGCCCAGTTTTGATTTTTACTCAACTAAGATTTTCACTGAATTTTTGTTTTTTTTCTCATTAATATAGCTGTAGGATTTTGTCAGCTCTGAAGTGCTCTTGCTAATCAGTTTAATCAGTTTAGAAAAAGAGATTTGAATTCTTTAGAAAAAGATATTCCTTCAACTGATAAAAAAGTAAAGATGTAGAAACAAATTATATCTAATCATTACAATTTTTATAATGATGTCTTTTATTAATAACAGTGACCCCTTAAATAGTAGACACAGACAACATTTGTCTGAAAAGTCATGCATTAAACAGAGAAAACCACATGCTGATCATCAAGAGGTTGCAGAAAGTCAACACAGAAAGTAACATTTGTCATTATTTAATGAAAAACTAAATTAATGCTGTAGAATGTTTAGAAGTGCTGTTTAAAATGAGCAAAGCCTTGGTTTTTTTGTAAATTTCATAAGATATTTTGGGGGACCAGTTTACAGTGTAAAATGTAATGGTCTCCTGAGGAAGACTCAACCGGCGCAGTCACAGAATTTACAAATACTGTTTTAAAATCTGACTTACCAACAAAAGGAACAGAAAAGCAGCCGTTCGGTGAGGGAGCCAATCCATGGCATCTGACTTCTCGGATACAAGTCCAACTGAGTTGTGGTTACAAGCCTGTTCCTGTTCCCCTCCCCCCTCAGCTCTAGTGAGTATTTAAAAAGACACTTGGTATGTGTCCTTATACTCAGCCCTTCAAAGTGTCTCTGCCTCCCTCTGAGGGAAGCACTGAAGATGCTGTATAACAGAGTGTCTTTCCCCACCCCAAAATCCTGGGCTGGTCTCACCTGAAACGCTTGACAACATCATTATTGCTTGCAGGTAAAAGCTAAGAGACACACCTTAATTCTTACTGCACTGAAACCCTTTGTTGGATACGAAAGGGTAAGTTTTAAAAACAGAAGGCAAGCTTCGCTGAGAAGATACCGAGTGATTTATAAATTACTCACAACATAAGGAATCATTAAAATGGTAACTTATCATTGCTTTCAATGCAACTGCCAGTATTCTTCTTGCACCCTGTATAATAGAAGAACTTAATGAATATTACCATGAAGAATATGGACTTTAAGAAATTACTTGTTTGAATTAGAAGTCCATTTACTTACAGGCACAAAGAAGTCAGTGCCATGTACATTATTCACAGAAGTGAAACATTGAGAGCAGAATGGGGTTGTTGTTGTTGTTAAAGAGGTAACATGTCAATTTGGGGAAAAAAAAATCATGTTTTATTCATGAGGCCACAGGCATATCTGAAGCAGAGGAAGACTTTCTGCTTTCACCATCTGCAAAGCTGCCTCATGCCATACCATTGCCTTCCAATGGGTTGTGCTCTCACTGGCACAGCGGAGAGAGAGTTGCACACATGCCCTGTCCCAGAGAAACTGGAGAGCCAGACAAAACAACAGGAAGTAGAGGAGAGGGAGGATGTGCCCACACAGCTCGCTTCTGGCCTCATTTTGCATGGCAGGAGCACAGTTATTGGGGGACAGACAAATCAAAGAAGACTCCCCGCTTTGCTCTGCAATAGCTTTCTCTGCAGAAGCCCTCTCTGCAGAAGAAGTGTTGTAAATCCCTCCTTGTGTCTTTGGGACACCTGAACCAACCTGTTATGGCAAGAAAAAGTCAGAGTGACCCTCTGGTCTGGCGCTGAACCTGGGAGAAGGGTACACACTTCATCCCCCCAAATGCAATATGACTGGTGTGCTCCTGAGCCTGCTGAGCCCTCCATGGAACTTGATATCTCCTAGAACTGGATGCAGGCTGGGAAAAGAGAGCTCAGCACCTCTGGGGCTACTCAGCACCTGCCAGGATGAGGTCCCATGCTCCTGCTGGGTAAGCAGTTTTGCAGCATGCCATATCTCCATGCCACTTAGCATGGATGCTTCGGTGTCTTGCAGCTGGCTGGGGCTGCCAAAGCCAGTTGTGCATGTCCCCATTGTCACTCAGCTCTTGGTACTAAGCTAAACATGCCAAGCAGTGAGTCAGTGAGGCAAACCGGAACAGGCAAAGTTAAATGGATCACATCTAGATTTTCCCCTTTCTGTGAATTTTTTAACAATCTAAAAGTTGTGTTTGGATTAAATAAAAATAAAAAGTTATTTGTTGCATGTATAAAATATGCATGTTCTTTTATGAACCAAAGTATCTTATTTCAGAACTTTTGCCTAATCAAATATTCCAAAAATGACAATTTAAAAACATTTTTTGTTCTAGGTTTTTCAAATGTTTGGTTTGGAGGCTTATATTTTTTTTGTTTTACAGAATTTCAAGCATTATTTTTGTATGTTTTTTACTGTTTTATACCAGATCGATATGATCATTATTGCAGTAACACATAAAATATCCATATTACTAATGCAATAGTCAGTGTTTGAAGTGTTGGAAGCATAAAACAGTGAAGAAAATGCAAAGCTCAATACATGATGGAGCTCATGGTGCAGATATGGAAACTGGATGGAGGTCTTGTACTTTGTGTTGCCATGGCATTGGGGAGAAGCTTGGAATGGGGTGGAAGTTGCGTGATCTTGTTCTTCTGCTTGATATTCAGAAATGTTTTGTACAAATCAAGTCCATCTCCTACATCTCCTACCAAGAAATATTGTGTACAACGTGATTACAAAGAATGGAAAGTTTGACCACAGTCCCACCCTCAGCACTTTACACAATAGAGATAAATAAGATATAAGATGTACCCCAATTTCATACCTGTACCAAATTTTTTACACAAAATTTGTAGGGACATATTGGCAGTTTTGTCCTCCTCTCCCTCCACAAAAGTCATGCTTTTTGGTAAACCTTGTGTCCTCAGCTACGTTTAGTGTTTTGACTTGGTAAATTAAGCTTGTGATGGCAATTGTATTGTTAGTGCTATGTATAGCTATTCTGCAGTTAATGCATTTATCACTGGCAATCCAAAAGGACTATATATGTTGTGTTCAATAAACTGTGCTAAATAAACCAGACTCATAGTTAATAGACTCTGTGCATCTGGTGTCAGGCCTATATTTTTATGTTTTTGCAATATGAAGTGGACCAGTGGCCATAGAAAAAGGGCAAACAGTGCTTCAGAATGAGTAGTTCTCAAACTTCTCTACAGACCTTCAGAGAGTTGAGTCAGTAGATTATTTTTGGAATAGCCCAGAAAGAAGATTGATAAAACTTATTTAAACTATCAAGAAATCACTGCATGTGAAAGCTATATCGGAGGCTTGATAAGAAATCAAGAAAGGTTGAAAGTGTGTCTCACTCAAAACTGCTCCTAGCAGTGCTGAATTTCCATTTTGACTACTGAATAGAAGTTATTTCTTGGAAATGTAAAATAGGCATGTTCTTTTACAGACCAAAATATCCAACTTCTGTTGTGTCAAATTTTTTATTATATAACAGAAGATAATTTGATCTAGAAAAGACGATAAAATGCCTCAAATGACAATAGCCCTAGAGAAGTGAAAATGAAAGCTGCAACTGTTACACTATGTCTTTCTTTACCACACCTCATTATGAAGAGTGCACATGGACTTATCAGAAAAAAAAAATTAGAATAATTCTTTAATGGGAAAACTTGTCATGTAATTTCAAATAAGATTTCAAAACAAATGTTCAAACTTTGAAAAATATAATTTACACATTAACAATTTTTAAAAAATAGTTTAGTCTAAATGAAAATGATTGAAAAAAATAGAGTAATTTAATCCAACTTGAAGAAGAAATCCTAATCCACTGACCATTACCCTTTGGGAATGCTGGAGTTAATAACATAGAATTAGTGGCATCTACCTAACAGTCATTTTTTTGTTCTTGGAGCTTTCGTCTCCTTTATATTTTATATGAAGGTTTTTATGCTTTTTTTTTTCTTTTTACTCTTGTTAGCACCTTTCAGAACAGTAGAGGAAAGGGCTGAGGATCATTTTGTAAACAGAACTCTATAATTAAAAATGTAATTGGCATATAATGCAGTTAATCAAAACTTGACTTTTCTTTTCATGAAAGAATTTTCAAAATTTTTTTTGGTATCTAAAAATTCAACCAGTCACCTACTGATGTTACAGAGCCAGCTAAGAGTCCAAATCCTAGAGACTTCCATTTGTGCAAGGTAACTAACATGTTTGAGCACTTCAGAAAGCACTCTTTACCTATGACAGTTGGTCTTGTTACTTTTAAAACACCATTCTTGAGTAATTTTTTTAAAATGCACCTCCAAGACTGCATCATCAGTCCAAGCCTGCGGTGGATCTCAAATTTGCTTCATCCATATTTGATGCAGTCTACTTTCACACAAATATATACATACACGCATATATATGACATTTCGATCAACTTTCTGAGCATCTCACAGGAAAATATTTGGTCCTGCAATATGACTCATGCCTGTCCCTGCCATGGGATTCGGAGAGGAGGCTTGTCCTCCAGGTCATCAACAAGCAATTCCCTCATAGAGGGTCTTGTATCTACATGAGATAGTCATGAACGCACCCCCTAACACTGCACTCTCAACTTAGCCTTCCTGTGTGGGAAATGAAAAACCCCAACAATGGAAACAATTAAACTTTTCAACTCTAGCTTTATCTTCTTGATTAAAGGAAGCATGTTTACGCAGCAGTATCTGGGGAATCTGTAATACTTAAATTAGTAAAGACCTTCATTCTGAAAGCAAAAGCCAGCCTAAGTCTTTCCTGAACTACTGTTTTCTGGCAATCACCCAGGAATGTCGATTGAAATTATTTTATCAATGCTATATTCAGACCTGTATGGAAGGCTAAAAAAGAGAGTGTCTTTATTAGCAAGAGAAGGCAAATGGGAAATGCTCTGAGTTCTATCAAATTGATGCATGATTTGCCTTATTTTAATATGAGGAACCCAAGGCATAGCAAGATGAAGTGACTGGTCTGAAATAATTCAGCAAAGCAGGGGCAGGACTCTGTCTCACCTGGTGCGCTCACCTCTGATATATCTGATTTTACATTTATGGAGCTGAAGTTCCTGGGAATTGTTTGACAGGTAAGGCACAGAGACACACTTTGCGTTGCTTATGATACACAGGTCTGTGTTTCATCATGTACTTTATGTTTTGATATGTTTCGGGAATCTCAGTTAAATATCAGCAGGATCCGTGTTGTTGCTGATGAAACTTGTATGCAGTGTGGGCTTTTCCTGTCAAGGTTATTTCAGACTGCTAACCATCCATTTTAGTCCAAAAGGATTTCTCTCATTATATTATGGTCCCATCTGTCTGGTTATGAAATTGAATGTTAGAATTTGATTTTGGCAGGATCATGCCAAATGCAATTTTTTAGTTTCTTCAGAATAGATGATTTTTGCACCCTATTCATTCAGTTTACTGCTGTTGTTAGTGACTGTTGATAATAATAAATGTGATGATAACTATAGCTTCTGAAGTTGCAGAAAATGTGTGGGGTAAACTTAGGAACATAATCAGAAAGACAGCCTTGCAACAAAACTAGGAAAATTAAACATGATGCAAGGAGCAGAATGTATGTAAGAAAGAGTGTGCGCAAATAAGAATGATTAGAGCAATATAATAATGAAATTGCTCATTCTGAGATAAT